CTTAATGCACTTCTTCATAATACCTTTCATTCATTACTTTACTAGTTAGCGCATTTTTCTTAAAAATAGATTTAGTTTTTGCTTCATGTAGTTATTATAACTGTATATATCTTAAACAATGGTCGATAGTTTAAAATAAACGTAAAAATGTTTAATGGTGCTAGCTTTGGCGCCAAGCAAAAACAATGCACACGAAAGTTTGCGTTTAATCCTGTTTAAAATTCCCCTTTTTTTCTAAAATTCACAAGCTCTTTCGATAATTATCTATCACAAAGTAAAGTATAGAAATTCGCATATATAAATATTCTCGTAGCAAACTATTTCATTAGCTCGATTCGTGATTTATATGTGAACACATTACACTTACTCACACAAACTAAAACATAACTAATGTTGACGTTAATCTATTACACCATTACACATTCATTAATAAGATGTTTGTTTACATTCAAATAGTGTTTGTCTTACTCTGACATCACTCATGTTGTGTAAACATAATATAATCTATATGTTTCATAAAGTTTAATCTTCAGATTACAATTATAACATTATCTGTTCAATTAGATAAATATCATTTTAATACCACAAAAAAATATTCTATTAAAACTAAGATCCGAAAAGTGTTTAATCCGACGTCTGTCAGAGGTGAACCTGACGCTCAACACTTCAATAACTTATTATTATCCATCAAGTAAGTTTCAATTTCTTATACGAAATACGTGCGTTGCGCGCATGTTCACAACAACGTATAAATATACCAAGATGAAAACTTCAAAATTATCTTGTCAGTTGATTTATGATTCAAGAATAGTTACATCAAAGTTGTAAAAATATTTTTACTGTATTTGAGTGCTTACCTTTTATTAGAAATAGACACTTTGATAGAAAATGTTGTGTAGACTTTGATATTGATAAAGTATCGGAACAAATGCACGGTTGAAGTGTTGAGGGGAGGACGAGGGTGTGAGGAGGGAGGAGGCTCGCATCTCGCACGTGGCCGAGTGCGGTTTTTAATTAAATAGAAAGCGTATCCAGGTTGTATCATATTCCCGATGCACTTGCTACTTGCAACAAGCTATCGCCTCCAACTGGAAAATACAATTCAGTAAATGAACACGACATTTGAAAAGTAATATTATTTCGCAGTATTAAACAACGAGAATCACTTGAATCGTATGCAGAGAAGTTGGAAAGTTAAAGACTAGCTACAAAGCATTGTTACCGATAGTAATCATTAAAATGTAATGCACTCGGCGCGGCGCGGCGCAGCGTCTACATTCATTGCTCCTCGCACATCGGATCTAGATTAAAACTCTTCTTTACAATTGTATCGTTCTCTTATATGTTACATTGACATACTTGCTTTGTGCGTTAATTTAGTCTTGTGATAGTATCTATTATCTAGATTGGTGTTGTATTAACAAACAATGCACAAAAGCAACGTTTGTCTACTCAGGCTTGAATGTATTTGTAAAGTCATCATTGAAGAAAACGTTAAAAATAAACACAACAAAGTACTAATCAAAGCACTCATGGAGAATGAGAACAGATGTCCTTAGTTTTTTATTGCACGCCCGTAAAGGTCCACACATTTTATTTCCTTCCGTCCACTGCTTACAGTTTATTACAGACGCGTCACGTCTCCCCCAGTCCGTCTGTCTGTCTGTCTGTACAGTCTGTAGTCTACAGACGATACTTACTTACACTATAAACATTATCTTTACTATCCAAAAACCTTGACCTTCTATCAAATATATTATAAAGCTAACGTCTTTGAATACAAAGCTTTCTTACGTTTCTCTAAATTATAAATTGTTAATTGATACTTGTAGACGTTCAAAATATTTGAACAATTTCATCAGCTACGAGAGTCAGTAACCACTTCAGTAATAACTGAACGTAAACAAAGACGCTCGTATCGGCTGCACTTTCAGATGAGAAATACAATATCGTTGTTATTTAAACGAGCGCTCTTCAAAATCTTTATTGAATAATTCACTTTGCAACATATTTCAACGCCATTCCCGAGATTTTGTCTTTCAGCATAGTTTAACACGAGGTCCAAATATAAAACGACGAGAGGAGAGAAGTATTTAAACGATAAATTTTTAAAACAAGGACATAGTAGTATTTCAATGGAAACAACTAACTACTAGTGGCAATGACAACATATATACATAAACATACATACCCGCTAAATACGCTGCCCACCTGTCAGTCGGGAGAGATCTCATACCTTTTCCTCTTTAATACGAAAGAAGAATTTTAACGTCATGGCAAAGACGTCATTTCTATCTATTAGTTATAGTAGTCGCATTCTAGATGTAGATGTAGAGCCTTGCACCCGCTTAAAGCGTTTAACTTATGCGTGTCGCAGGACGCAAGGTAATTTAATGTAATTCATTGTACAGTCCACGGCGCGGTATGCACTCTGCAAGCACTCGGCACCCGCCAGTCTCAGCGCAAATGCAAGTCGAGCCAGTTCATAATAAATGCTCTTCCACTGCTCACAATGTTATATTTAAATTAAATTATTGCAGAATATTAATAGCCATTTCATTTGAGTTTCTTTGAATTATTACTATACTTGTAACTACTATACAATATCATGTTTCAAAATATTTTCACATAAAAAAAAATAATTCGTACATTTTAAGATTTATTCTTCTTTAGATTTCCATATTTGTTTGATACAAATTAAAGTATATAAACAATCTCGGCCTGAATTATGTACATTCGAACAAAATATTATTTATTTTTGTCACGTGTGTTCGTGATATGATTGTTGTTAGAGGATCATTCTCAAATGAAACATATCGTAAGAAATAAGGACATTTGACATGTAGTGACGTAGACGCCCGCACCGCGCCGCACCCCGCGACCCGCGCCACTCGCCCCGCGCAGTCACGCTGCCTGAACAAAGAAAATTGAATTGCCCTAACAAGACTCTTTCATCGGAACAATTTTACCGAATGTTTAACTTTTGCCGTCTGTAACTCCAACTGTAATTTGATAACGACCTCCTGAGAGCTTTGTATTACTCAAGTTTTGACAACTGAATATTCTTTAACGAAATATTTTGAAAGTTTCCTTAGAACATTGTCGTATTTTGTACGCCTCGTTCACACTAAAAAATAACACTTTATTTAAATAACAAAAAACTGTGCATATCTAACAATAATTAAATTAATATAACACTTTTTCCAAGAAATCCTTAAGCCTTGTCTCGTAAAATATTTTCCCTTCCGTATCACCACTATATTGGGAAATATAAAATCGCATTGACAATAGGGACAGGTCGCGTCCTCGCCTTCGATCTACTTTCAGCACCGGAAATCTTTTCAGCATAATTTTCATGTCGCCAAACCCTCGGGGATGCGCCGGCGTTAAGCGAGGACAGGCTCACCCACCATCCGGCACTCACACGTAACTTTACAGTTCCTTGGACCTACGCTTTTTCTTGTTTATATTGATGACATTCTCAGACTCAAACTTAGCCGAGCTGAAATCATTTGTTATGCTGACGACACTGTACTATTATTTTACGGTAAATCATGGCAAGAGACAATTTGCCTCGCTGAACGCGGTCTAGTGCAAATTAAGTCTTGGCTAGATAAAAACCTGCTTACCCTAAATGTGGATAAATCTAACTTTCTCTAAAAACTCTGTTTTGTCTAGTCTCCCGGTTGCAAATCTCAAGATACATTATAATCTTTGTCAATCCTCTATCCCAGCGAATAGTTCCACCCCATGCACTTGTCCCACCTTAGTTAGATCAGATAAAGTCAAATATTTGGGCCTTATTATTGACAATAACCTTACTTTCAAGCACCATATCTCTGCTCTGTCCACTAAAGTTAGGAAATGTATTTACTTAATGAAGAAGCTTAGAGACTGCACCACAGAAGAAGTGCTCCGCCTTGTTTATTGTGCGCTGTGTCAGTCAATCCTGCAATATTGCGTGGCAGTCTGGGGCAGTGCCGCAAAGACCACTATGTTGCAGGCAGAGCGGGCGCAGCGTGCAGTCATTAAGGTGATGTTCAAAAAGCCTTTACGATACTCTACTGACCTTCTGTACCGGGACTTAAAATTCTTAAGGGTTAGGAGTCTATTCGTATTGAACGCGATTACACGAGCTCACAGAGAGATATCAAACATGTCAAATTACGCTCAGCTGCAGTCTAAACGTAAGTTTAGAGTACCCCTACCCCACACCAGGTCCGCTTTCGCCAAACGCTCCCCTGCTTATATACATCTACGCATATATAATAATATTTGTAAAATTCATAATATTCACCAATACACAGCGGGAAAGGTTAAGGTCCTTGTGAAAAAGTGGCTTGTGTCCTTATCCTACCTTGACACGGAAGCCCTTCTTTGCGCCAGCCAATAACAATTTCACCTGCGCACCTAACTTAAAACACACACACACACACACGCACACACACACGCACACACACACACTTTCTCACATACTCACACGCATAATCATACACACACATGCTATCCTTTGATATTATTAGTAGTTCAAAATTACTTAGTTTAATGTCTTCATGTATTTTCTTATTTTCCAAATTGTATCTCATAATATAACGCTTAGTTTTACATGATATGTACGTACTGTTTTTTTGTTTATGGCTAGTGCACTCCTAGGCCCCGAGATACAGGCTCAGCCTAGTTCGGGGTCTGCAAGATACTTCACTGTATATTATTCTAACGTGTTTTTTGTGAAATAAATTTATTCTTATTCTTATTCTTATTCTATTCTTAGTTACTTTACAGTCTGTGTTTTAAGACCTTTGATAAATACCATGACAGACAGAGTAATAAAAATCTGTTATATATTTAAATATTTATTACTTGTTAATATATATTGTAATATTTACACGTTTAATTGCATAAATCTTCTATAAATTAATTTGGTTAAAATAAATAAAATCACATAACTTATAACATGGTTGTAAGTAAAATATTTTATAATAATGGATAGAATCAGTACAAATAACCTGAAATAGAAACAGAATGAACTAAACATCCAATATTTATAACACAATATATTTTATAAGATTAAAACAATTATTGCTGAATTTATAATAAATAAATTATTTGCTCACTTTCCACTCAAATCTATAGTTTTTACGTAAGTAGAGATCCGTACAAATTAGGGTAATTAATTTTATATAATAATATAATAAATTATTAAATAATTTTGTAAAATAACTGTACAATAATGATTGAACAATTTTAACAGCAACTTAAATGTTGTGTGCTTATCAAAAGTTGTATCCTTGAGCAAAGTAAAAGGAAGTAACTATTATAACTAAAGACAAAACATTCCCTGTATCCTTTACTTCTTATTTAATTGATAACTCGTATCTAGTATGGCTCTTTGAATGTTGTTTAATGGCGTCTGTTTTATTACTCTAATAACATTTATTTGTCTGGAATATAATTTACGATGTAAAATCTATTTATGACTAGTTATAAATCTACACTATATTACATTTATCAAAATTTCTCAACTACGGTTTTACTTTTATTACTGCTGTCGACTTCTTCAACTTCTTTCACGCCATCCTCTGTAAGAAAAATAATATTAAGGTAAGTAAATTTTTCCCGCCATGTACCAATGTGTTTTTCGATTTCCGATTTACATATGTACATTTATCCGACGTTTTTACGGTGAAGGAAAACATCGTGATGCAACCTGCACATATCTGAGAAGAAATTCAAAGATATGTGTGAAGTTAACCAACCCGCACTTGGCCAGTTGACTATGGCCTAATCACCCTTAACTTAGGGTAGGCTCCGAGCCCCTCGGTGGGGACGTATAGTGAGCTGATGATGATGAAGTAAATTTTTAAGAAATATTATATTTCTGCAATACCAATTTTTTCTACCTCAAACTTGCTATTAAATTGCTTAAAAGAGTAAGCCCGTTATGAAGAATTCATAGCAAAATTTAGAAGCGTTTTTTTTTTAATTAAATAGGTTTTAATACAATTGTTATAATAAAGAGCTTACCTAAAGTCTTAGCAGGTTGCGGTTCATTCCAGTCCTGGACCTTGCCTGACATGAACAGGATGAAGAACAGATTGCTCAGGAAGTAGAAAGCGATCGAGATTAAGAAAACGTTCCTCCACTCTGACGCACTCGACTGCAAGTAAAAAAACAATCAAGTAAATAATCAGTCACTCGCTTAAGACAGAAACGTTACAAAAGCAACGCTCCTGGCACACCTTTCTCCCATCTTCTACAGTCATCAATTATATGATCTAATGATAAATCAACAGTATTGTACAAATTCGACTTGTAATATTTATAATAATGTCCGAGGTGTGGTCAGAATTAAATAACGTTACATCAATCAAGAACAGGAAGTTGAAAAATTCTCTGGGTCATTCCGACTTCCGTTATGTTAAAAATTTGAACAAATCAAGACTTTATTATATCATAAAAGTACTGACTTCATCTTTGACGACGAGCGAGACGCTGAGGGGTGCCATGATGGAGAAGATGTTCCCGCAGCCGTTGGTAATACCCATCAGAGTGCTGGCGAAGTTGGGCGACAGGTCGATGTGCGAAATCTGATAAATAAAAAAAATTAAACATCTTATCTTGTCGATGTCCCAGGGAGAATCTAGATGTAATCTTGAATGTTTTAAATGAACTTACCAGGAAACCGACATAGTGCGCGCCGTTGAGACCAACTGTAAGAGTTAGTATGACCACCGCGAGGGTCAAGTGACCTGCCGGGATGTAGGACAGACTCAGCAGAGCCGCTGCGGGCCCCCAAAATGCTAAAACCATAAGATTATGTAGTCAGAAGCAGAAATAGTGTGTGCAGAGTTTGAGTTGAAAACATGATGCGTTAATCCATGTTTACTATTGACTAAGTCCTATAAATTACCGATAGTATTAAAGATCTTCCTGGCCGTGGGCAGGCTGATGATATTCCTGTTGATGAGGAAGTCCGCGGTCCAGCTGAACACAAAGCTGAGGATGTACATCGCCACGTACGGAAGCGCAGACAGCAGACCGTTCTGTCAAGTTATGAAAGATAATCAATAAAATATCACTTACAGTTATTTCACCCATTCCATGTTTCTATTGAATAAAAATAAGTGCAATTTGGTCATTAAGAGATTCCCTTACACTTTTAATATTGACGCCGAGGACTTTGCTCATGTAGGAGGGTATCTCTGTGAGCAGGGTCCAGAAGCCCAGGCTCTGTCCGCTGTGAGCCAGCAGGATCGCCCAGAATGGCAGCGACGTCCAGATGCTCTTCCATGGAGTTGCCATTTTCTGTAAACAACGTTACAATTAGTAGCGACATTCGTGATTCAGAAGCTTTTTAAGTGTTGCACTTGTAAATATCTTGCTCACCTTCTGTTCACTGATGTCGGCAGACCCGACGCTGGTCTCGATGTATTTCCTCTCGTTCTTGGAGATCCACCGGCAAGTGCTGGGTGTAGAGGCGCCGAGGAGCATCCAGACAGCGGCCAGCGCCAAGCAGGACGCACCCGCCACGTAGAAGACGGCGGGCCAACCCCACGGGCCCGCAGACAGCACGCCCGCCAACATCATCTCTATTATTGTACCTAATTGAGCACCTGGTGAACAAGCAATAGTTACATTAAAATTCAGTAAATTCTTGATACAATAAAATTCGAACTACGTGTCAGTCTTATAAATGGAACAAGAGGAATAGTTTATTTGCGTATATAATGTACCGGACGCTGTTTATTTACTTGTTGCAAATATTGATCCTTTTATCACCTATTGAGTAACTTTCATAGCGTAAAGTCTGTTTAGTTTCCACATACCAGCGTAGACGAATGTCCCCATACGGCTGCGCTCAGCCGCGGGCGCCCACTGTCCCAACAGTCCGTGCAGGCTGGGGTACAGTAGACCCTGCGACAATCCCATCAGGATGCGGCACGCACACACCGCCATCCAGTCACCCTATAACAATAAAACCTTTATTGTCGAACGGGAGGTTGATTTACTAAGTATTAAAATATGACAGCCATACTTTTAAATTTATGACGGAAGGAATTCCATCCAGAACGCATTAGTACTTCTGCAGTTATGGTTTGAGAAAAAGTTAGCGAAAACTTAAAGATTCGACTATAATGACTGTAAAGCTTTACTCGAGCCTTCGTCCAAACCTGCTCTTACAGAGATTAAAACTCCTTATCTTTGACTTTTTCACTTAAACTAAAATGAAATAGTGACGAATTTAAATATCAAGTAAGTATAGGTAAGACATAGGTACAAGATCTATGTCGATAAGCTGCTTTTAGTGTTATTTCTTATCGATCAATTTATTCACATCACGGTTATGATAAAGTTAAACAAGATCGACATTGATTTAGAACAAAATATTCAAACAATCAAAGCAGTAACTATTTTGAGTTTAGCAAATACATCCAATATTGCATTAAACTCTAAATGTTACCAAAAATGTATTCAAAGAAAGCAACATTGAAACAAGTTACTTTAGTAGCGGCGAATGGCGTGACCAAGTTGACCAGTCCGGTGATGAGCATGGCTACGGTGATGAAGATTTTCCCTCCGAATCGGCCGGTTAGCATCCCCGCGGGGATCTGCAGCAGGATGTAGCCCCAGAAGAAAGACGACAGGATCGTGTCCTGAACGCTTCTCTCCCATTTAAATACCTGCAACAAACAACCTAACCTTAATTTTAAAAATCAAAAACTTGACTGACAGGCTCTGATGATTGAAGTAGCGCCTTCGATTGGATTTTGGTGTTTATTGTTTAAAATTCTTGTCTTCAATATCTTAATTTTTTCTGCTGTCACTTAAGTTTCAAATATTATATTGTCATACAATGTAAACTGATTATACGACAGATATTTTTCTATCAAAAATTTGGGATTCGATCTGGTCACATAAAGTTTTTAGCATAATGTTGATATCGGCGTGACACCTCGTCGTGTCGCGCACTCGACATCGCCTCGGCGTGAAGAGGGTTAAATATGGAGGATGTGTTCACAATATTACTATTGTGGAAAGAAATCCTTGCCTACAAATTGTTCCGTTCATTCCTTAGATATTGGTTTTCCTGTATGGTATAATGCAAAACCCGTGTTCGTTATACCGGCTTTATTAACTTATGTCACTTTTTGTATTTACGCTGTTAGCATTTGTAATAAATTCAACATAACATTTTTGGGATTCATTTTCGGATCTGTGTAAAAACATATTGTGATACATCTTAGTATCTTTCAAATACCAGGAATAAAGTATGTTCCAGTAAATTATTAGGATTACAACTTCACGGCAAGAGTACACTTGAAATGACCTTGAAAATGAAGTATGAGAGACATAACATCTTAAATTAAACAATAGAATAAAATCAAATACATTAGGTACATTTAACTTTTCAACTTCCACTCTGACGATAAACGTGAGAGTTATAGAGAAAGTTTTAATAGCCATATCGATAAGGCATAAAGGCGACCTCGAGATCGGGCGCGTTACGGATAGGCAGGTCGATAGAACAAAGCCTATCAGTAACGCGCCGCCACAGCGCGCCTATTCGGCGGGATAATGCGTGCTCCGTATGTGCGGCACGTCCCGCTGTATCGCACTCTGACATCGCCACTCTACGCCGCCGCACCCGCCGCCGCGCCGGGTCCATTTGTGACGTCACTTATTTTATCGACTGTATTGATATATTTTTTATCTATTTTATTGATATAATCTCGCGTTAAAGATAAATGGGCGTATGAAATTACTTTACGATAAGATTATAATTACCAAAGAAGTCATTAAAGAAACAAATTACTATGATAGTAGAAGTCTGGCTTGTATACCTGTAAAATTCAACATCAAGATTTTTCCATTCGCTACATCTATCTCACTCTCTTTTCCTCTCTCTTTCTAAGAGTATAGGTTACTCACAGGATGTCCGTAGTCGTTGTCCGTTGTCATGGCGACGATGGCGACGCTCATGCTGACACGCGTGGCATATGACACCGTCGTTGCCACAAACAGTAGGAACACGACCAGATGTCGCATTCCAAAAGAACTCTCTGCAAACAAACACATACATTTTAGGCTCACATCGGACTTGTGGACCACACCGCCATCTTTTATGAAGCGATAAATAAAAAACTTAAATATTCCGTTCTTTTGGAAAATATACCTACTAAATATTTAAAAAGAACTTTAATTATACACAACAAAGTATGTGTAGAAAATAGAATGAAAATCTGAAGCTATTTTAACGTAGTTTTTGTTAACATGAAATTTCATAGCACAAAGCATATTTTAATGTGTAAGAACTCAACGCCTCAAAGACGTGTGTGTACACTTGCGAATGTTTTCACTGACCTTGTTATACTTCAACAAATACTTGGCACATTTCTTATACATGTTTTTTATTTTAAGTTACGTCGTTGTAGAGGAGAGCCCCTTAAGTGAAAACATTTGCATTTTTCCAAAACAAGAGTATTAATTACTGTGCCCGCGTGTCACTAACTAAATGACGGCCCTTTACATCATTTGTTGTAACAAAAAGACTTTTTTACATATTGCTAGATAAATAATGGGCAAATGGAATTTTTTGATCGTTTTATGGTAAAGTGAGTGTTAATGATGACATCTTTCGAGTAAAAACAAGTGATTAGTGACCAAAGAGAATTTGCTAACAATAACAACTTTTTGTGGATGATTGTTATTTTTGGAGACGTTTAGTTAATTATATATCTCTTTAAATTATGATTAATGAAAAATGTTTTAAATAAATTAAAGACATTTTAAGATAAAAATTAATAAAAACAATTTATTAAAAGAACTCATTAATATGTTCTAGAAATTTTCTGGACTTTTAACATTAACTTTTTGTTATGTTCTTAAATACTAACTAAGGTGGGTAAATAAATTATTTTATATTATTCAAACTAAGTTTAAATCCAAAAATTATAGAAATACAGAAACATTTTCAGAAGGAAAATACGACCTTTTCAAGTGTAGTACAGTAAAGCGGTGGTATATTGAAAATGTTGCAGAAATCGCAAATTAACTGCCTCAATTATAATTTACTTTTGATATTTCAAAATATTCAAATAAGCTTTAAAATAAAAACCTTGGAAGCGTAAACGAGAGCTCTTCTAAATTTTGCGGCAACGATTTTCCAATTTATATTATGTTAAAATATTAAAACAGCATGAAATTTTGATGCTTTGAAAACTCAGTTTTTTTTACAAGGTTTTTAAAATATTTTTTGTACTTAAATAACTTATAAAATAAATACATCTTAGATTAAGATATATAAGTACTCAATGATTATTAATTCCTACTTAACATCTCATCTAATGAAGTAGAGCAGCATTATTGTCAATTTTTACACTATTTTTAATTTCAATAGAAGTCACTAAAGTTTGTTTTAAAACTGAAAAGGACCGCATTATAATTGTATAATACTTTTGTAACTATTGTATTGTACATACACAAGCAAGTCAATTTCACAATTTCTATTTGCATGTTAAAGACGATATGTTTTTGTTATGAAATGTAAAACTCAATGACGTACTTATGTATGTGTGTCAAGAGTTTGGTGTCACTTAATGAACAGTTTTATTTTGTATCGTATGTAAACAATTGAAAGAAGTGAAGTGGACTCCTGTAATTATCTCAGATTGCAAATGTCATGTAGTAGGCCGTCGAGTACATCGCAAGCACTTGTAGCTTATCTGACACCTCAATGCAGATTGTTTCGTCCATGACAAAGCAAAGCAATACTTTGTAGTTGTCCATAAAATCTACAAATGATTAATAATCATCATAAATACTATAATAGTATTGGCAAAGGGAATTCCCTCGTGTCCCTGATATGTATCTAGCTGTAGATAAACATTGGCATCGCATACAAAAAAAAATAGGAAATGAATAAATGTATTAGTATTAACCCATCTTTTATACGTAATGTGTAGTCGCATATGTACGTGACTGGTGTTATATTTTAATTTATTACTGAGCAAAGACAAAAACTAACGACGAATAAAAGCTGTTCTAATGTCCTTTACATTGACAATGAACAGATAATAGTGCAATAAAAACGTGACCCGCCTCGACACGACTCCTCAGTCAGTGCTGTTGACGCACGAACCCAAATGCGCGACCAACAGATGCCCTCCACACGCCGGCAACACACTAAGCGGTAACGCGCGTTTTGGGAACAATAATCTACCGTCATAAACAAATATAAGAAAGGATCGGATGGTTCTTATAACATGAAGCTATCAAAACGCGCGCTTTAAAACGCGCAGTGTGCCCCCACCGAAACCGTCACGCATGAGCGCAGTCTTGTTGTCATCAGTCCGTACCATTGTGTGGTATAAAGGCTTGATCTATCATTGTACAGTTTTCGGTGTTAGGATCGTGGTCAAGGTAACCTATCATAATAGACCTAAACGACATCACCATCTTGAAGAACAAATGAATAAATTGTTAATTGAGGAAGATTACATCTCTGTATAAATTAAAAAGTAAAGAAATAATATAAGAATATCCAACAGAAGACAATAACAGTTCAAGAACGTCGTCAGGTTTCCAAACGGCCGAGGCTCCAATTATATAATTAGCTATTATTACAGCGATAGTCTCATTGATGCAACTTATGATTCGGGCAATTTTTTCTGCTTCAATTTCTATTGAAATTTCGTGTGAAACAATAATTATTTAGTCATCGCTAGTTCACTTAGCTCGAAGCCTATACCTACCGGCTAGGTATCCGTCTAAACTAAGTCATTTCATCAAAACAAATTATTTCTATGTTATAATACTAAAAATGTTACGTATAAACCTTTCTTTTTAATTACTTTATTATCCTTACCGATATCCATAGACCACACGAGGGCCAGCACGACAAGAATCGCTATCAAAATCCACATCAACATTTTGCTTGAACTTTCTTACACTCTCACTCAATCACTGTAACTTTCTGATATATTGATATTAATGAAAATAATTTTCACTTTGTTATAATACAGCTACATAACAGTTTCTAAAAGAACAGTTAAATTCCTATATTTAGTGCGATGAGACTTGCGTGAATCCGCCAAACTGTTGTCATTATCACGACACAGGAAAGTATTGTTATCATACTATGACTGATTATATTGGACTAGCTTTAATTTTGCAGTCATTGATAGCCGATAACTCGCATGATTTACTACAACATTACCATTAATCTGTATCAACTGTAAAAAGTATTAATTAAATGAATTAGAACTCTAATAAATGAAGCATTTAGTTCACTTTTGGATTATCCTAATCTTGATAAATGCGTCCATTTGTTTACCCCTAGCCAAATATATAGAAGGATATACGTGTTAACATAATGCGGGTTGATACTAAATACAAAGTATATATCAAAAGACAATACATAATATATTATTCATCACGACTCATGGAAATTTATACGTTAATTTGAACAATCAGATTTTTATCTTGAGTTTTAAAATAGAGTCGCAACTTAAAAATAATGTTAGTAAGAGCAATCTAAGTTTATCCAGCTTGTACTAGTTCTATGCACTTCTCATGCTGACGCGGCACTTCAACAACATAACTCATTTGATAAGTTACTCCAAGTTAAAAAAAATAACACTAAAGAAATATATGATATTTAAAACTTTGATGATGTAAGTGTGAATTTGTTCAGGAAAAACCTATCGAGGAATTTTACGTAAAAGTGTTTGTCATAATTTCTCACAATAATAACGTAATTAATAAATATCATTTTAATAACAAAGATCGACATTAAATAATAGTTATGAAAGTAATCAGTTGATAGGATTTATATTATTATCAATTTTAATTAAATCAGTGTGTGCGAAACAAAAACATCATTTAATATTTATTTTACTAATGGTATTATTGTGAACAAAAAATATGAGAAAAATCAAAGTCACAATTGGAAAGATTGAACAGTTTAGTGAAGTATTTCCTATAATAAAAGTCGTGATAAAGGATAAAATAATAGCAAATTGTAGTTAGCCCACAGGGGGGTTTGTCATTTGTTAGCAAAATACGTACTTGTTTGATCAGCTGACGATAATTTGTATATTATGTGTGTTATATGAATATTTACGAAGGTGAACTGTTCAGTACACGTTATAATAAAATGCAACACAAAAGAAATCATTTTTATTCAAAAGAAAACAGATATAAGGACTGTTGTGAATGTGTTAGAATTATATTACCGTATTATTGAATGAATCAGACACAAAATCTAACACTGGGCACATTTTTGTGAAAGTGATTTAAAATTACGCTTAAATCGTCATAAAATTGAATACACGGTTTAATATGGAGGGAGGGGAGGGATGGGGGGGGGGGCTATACAATGAGAGTTGACCATAAAATTAATGTTGTTACAATATTATGTATAATAATAACGTAACTTCCTGCTCATTAAATGCTCGGTCACATAACCAAACAAATTGTCCAAACTATTTCATATTATTATTATTATTATGTTCAAAAGTGTGACCAAACATGTAATGTGTCTAGCATATCTCTTATGGGACTCTTTTGTGACACTTCACCAATCTTTTGTGGCCATTGAAGGCGTGAAACTTACAGATGTGACACTACATCATTGACAATTGTGGCTAATATTTTAATTTTAAAAGTCAATAATATATATGACATCAACGTATGATAAAAAAAAAACTTGCAATAGAAAGCCAAGCCATCACAAAATTAAAAAAAAGCACTTCAAGTGAATTTTTGTTGTTCTAAGTTTAATCCGACAAGAGATTTAAATTGTTAACAAAATTTCTATACGAGCATTTTACGTATCACTTCGTCGCATATCCTTACCGCCAATTTTAATTTAGTAAGACACATTTCAACTTAATATTCATGACCACTTTATATTTACGTTTTTAATCAAATAATGAATAAATTTCCTTGTTATTAAAGTGATAATTAAAATATAATGTGATTCAGAAGTTAACTTTGACCAAGAGAGCGGTTATTTCACGCTCGAGTAAGGCATTATAATTTCCACGGAGCCCCGACTAAATACAACCCTGATGGGTCTCTTGTTACGATGCCCTTTTTACGTATAAAGGCATAACAGTCGACATTACTGAAATTTTAATAATACCCTCATCCCAATTTTACAAGCAAACTTTTACACTAAAGATAAAAGAACCAGATATAGTCATTAGCTCTACAAAATAACCCTGCTTTTGGAGTTTATACCGAAAGTTACAAATTATTATAAAATTAGGCCACTTTTTATGGGATTTCTACCACAATTATATTGTCCGATATTATATTTATTTATAAAATTAATAGCAAACATAATTAAAAATAAATTAAAACAAACCTCGACATTGTAGCTCTTTGCTCCACCAGCCAAGTACATTGAGTTTGTTTAGATTTATAATTTCGAACAGAACCAATTTCGCCTTGATCCCTTGTTGATACTTAAACTTTACCATTTTATTGTTAACTGTAAAAGGACTGCAATTATTTTAAACGTAGATTGGTACTATTCTGCTAATCAAAATCTAAATATATAAACTAAAACTGAATAAAGTTATATTACACTATCTAATGTTACTTTACGCTTCATTAACCTTTAGTGCATGAGTCGTGGATTACAATATCTGCAAATAGTCGTACACAGTTTGTGGTTTTAGAAGTGATCTAATTTATTCAGATAATTGCCAGCAAATGTAACTCGGCTCATTAAATGCAACAATAAGAATGAAGTCGGCTAATTGTCCAGTAATGATTTCCCTTCCAATTAATCATCGTTTACAATTCACACGAATTACAGTTGCAACAGACGTGAAGGGCGCGCATGATGCATTCAATATTGTCCGTTATAATACTTCCGACACTTTGTTATGTCTCATTTGCATAACAATTAATCAATTTAAGTATTTGCGAGAACGTTCACACCACGTGTCTTTGGAATGGGAGCGAAATCCATCGATGTAACTTGTATGATTTCAATTTTTATTTATATGTTCTTTTCTTAATTTTTAAAGTAATTTATCTTTACCAAATCTCAAAATAGTTTACTTCGTCTCTCTTACAACCAAATTAGTTTCAAATAAAACGCGTTAAAATACTCGTATAGTTAATATTCGTAGCGTCTCTCTATACATTGGGCGACGCTCGCCTTTTCCTCTCAAGCTTGTATAAGTTTACATGCGCTTATTTCACCCTAAATGTTGCTAAGGGACAAAATAATATTATAAACTAGTGACAATCATCCAAATTATTTGAATACATCATTTCTACCTAAATTTATAATGTGAATGTCATTTCAAAAATCAATTTAACTACTTTATGTGACAGATAGTGCTCAACTCTAGTCACATATTTATCTATATAATTTACTATTTAAATACTTATAATTGAACAACAATGGTAACGTACTTCCGTGTATAGTGCGCGCGGCGGCCGGAGGGCTCCCCCCCCCCACCACCCCGCCGGCCGGCTGGAGGGTGGCGGACATCAATTGCTCGTCAATACCAAAACCAATCAATCAAGCATTCATGCATTATGTGATTCACTACAAATTGTAACGCTAAGGGCGGGGACACACACCGCGCTAACAACCAAACCATAGTCATACGCCTTATACTCATGTACCCTACGTGCTAACTAAAAAACCGTTTCAATTTACTAATATAGTTTAGTACGAGATTAATAGTATAGATAAAAACTTCTTTATATTACTTAATTGCTCTGCATAATATTATAATATTAAGTATTTTAATGGATCATAAAATATTTACAGTAAAACGTTAATTTTACACTTAAATTATGTGACATTTAAAATTGTATTTCAAGGCAAGGCAATACTTATTAATTCGCTAAGGCTGCTTTATCTGAAACAAGCCTTATGTCAATCCTCAGTCCAGCGTACATATACGTACTCGCACCAATTCCATTGTGTGTAGTTTGCGCGGGAACAAGCTTGCACATTTCATTAATGTAAATCCATGTTTATTTTGTATTAGTTGTCGAATTTTCTTTTCAAAATAAAAATAAAAAGAAACATATGTCACTTCGATTAAAAATAAACATTTCCTTATCCAAATGTATTTTTTTTATTTTTTAAATATAGCGGTCGTCCACGACTTTGTCAGCGTTGAATTATAAAAAAGGAGCCTATAATATTATATGTCCGCGTGAATTACCTACCTGACCGTCAAAGTTCCGTGGGTCCAGCCGTTCCAGAGATAACGCAGAACATTAATGTGTTACATAAAAAAATATAAGTCACCAATACTTACATGGGAGGTTTATAAAAACAAACTTTGAGACACATTTCAAGTAAGCGATTAAGGAGACGTTATCGTCGTTAAGAGATCATACTGTATACATATATATCACATTTTGTGTCTCTGAAATTTGGTCATGTTACTATTCTATTATTATTAGTCTAAGTTGTCTTTTATCCTATTTCGTCATCAAGCGCATGGGAAAATACTAGTATAATGTTTGTACTAATTAATGAAGACGATCAGACAATTATTCAGAATTAGAAATTATTTCTATTCAAAGTGTTAATGATTTCTCTGTCATACTTCAATGGATGTGTAAGCAGTTTTTGTTACAATTATATGACGGTCATTATATACAACAACACGGATGCGCCGGCTAACAGCGTTATGTAATATCTACATTTTTCAAATACCTTAAACCTTAACATTAGTGATAGAGTATAAAAAAGTAATTAGTAAATCGTCTAAAATTAGGCAATTAGTTCAGATATAAAATATTTATAAAGCAGAATTATATATTGCAATATTGAATTTGAAACTATATTTTTCTGATAATTTGTGCTATGTGCTTGTTATGTGTTTGGTGTTGTGACGTCATCCATTCAGTGGCGACACCTGGCGGCACTTGCCCGCACCATTGTTCTCATCAGTTACATTTCGCGTATTGTATGGTTGTTTCTACTTCAGTTTATCAATGTTATATAAACGTTAAATCAAATAAAATAATAAAGAAGACATTTCTTTATACTTATTATCAAAGGATTATGTTAAGGTATTGTAGTATTTGTGCTAGAAAATTCTTGAAATACCAGTAATGTTATTATATTACGTG